CTTTGTTACTGCTCATCGTTAGGAAGAATTATAAAATTATTTTGCAATTTATTTTCTTTTAATAGTTTACCAGTTTTTTTTTAGCAGTCAAGTAATTTGTCGTCATTATCTGAACCAAGACTGGACGATATGTATCAAGGACTGAAAATCACTCGGTCTTAATCGGTTACTGTCTAGTCTATGAAAACTGATCCGACAAATCCTTTTCATTTACTGATGCATCATCGTCGTTGCGGTTATAACCATCTTCCAAACATAACAAATTACGTTTTGTTTTTGGAGTAAAAACCTATAATTAAAAAACAGTTAAATAAATATTTGTAAACTTTCTAAGTTGTTTGAGTGTCGCCAATTGAAAACCAGGCAGTCTAAATATAGATTACTATAAAATAAATATTATTTTATATGTATGCTTCTTAGTTTTCACTTGGCGACACCTATTCGATAAAATAATGCTAATCAAACCTCGCAATACATCAAATCGTTCTTTGCAGCGTAATCAAAAAAACTTTCAGAAACAAGCCTAATAAAATCTTTAAATTCACTTTGCGATGTTGTCAATGTTTGCAGTCCTTCAAAGTAAATTGATATACGGTTCAAAAGTTCTAAAATGGAAAGCTGCAACCATGGATTGAGTTAGAGTCATAATGAAAATAATGAAAATAATTACGTGCTTACCTTAAAGAAGATAGCAATAGAATCCGTTGAACAACGAACAATCATTCGATGAAATGCAGTGGTTATGTGATAGAAGCTTTCAGAGTCGATTCTCTCATAATACTCTAGCAAAGAGCAGTACGTTGAGATTACGGATTCATTAACAAAACTCTATTAATTAGAATCTATTAACACTATGATCATTAAATATGATAATTATGCTGCACATATTAAAAACATACCTCCTGATATTCTTTAAAAGTGGATTGATGAGCTTTTATATTTACTCTTTTTTTTTTAACATATTCTATCTCTTCATAATCATCATCCGTATTTGGGTCTTCTTCCTCCATTTTAGAACTCATTCCTGATTACAAAGTATACCAAAGGAATTCGTTAAATAACTAATTATTATTAAACAGTAATTTGAATTCAAAATTTCCGCACTCGGCCTTGTTCTTGAAACTTCATCAATTTCGAAGGCAGTTTCTGAGCAACTTTCAAGCCTTTCCAAAAGAACATGGATGGTAGCAATTAAACTTTGAAGGTACCTTTAATATATTAATGGTCATGAGTTGTCATTAATACTTGATATTAATGCAAGTAAAAAAATCAAATAACTGACTTACCCAAATGATTGATCTTTAAATTCTTTAACAAGCAACATCATCATTCTCAAATACTCTTCTTCTTGATAAATTTGGTTAATTATATATACTGCTTTGTAACGAATAGGTTTATCATCAAATCTCTTCATCGCTTGTGTGGTTAACAACTAGATTTAAATATCGTTAGTACCGGGCATCATAATTTTACCATTAAATACCGCTTAAATAGAGCAAATATTTGCCATTTGTCTCAAACAGTCCAACCCAAAATGCAAGTCCGACCATTGCTATGGTCAAAAATTAGTATAATTAAATTAACAGTATTAAGTTTGCGGAAAAATGAAATATATTTCTCAATATATTCACGAACCTTGTTATTTCTAAAAAAAGATATCTTTTCGAATACCAATAAGAATCCTTCATAGTCCATAATAGCACGGACAAGATCAAAACTATAATATAAGTTTGTAAGCTCTTCAAGTTCCGGTTCATATGCTATTTTCGACGATGTATTATCCTGTAAAAGATTTCGAAATTCAAGGAAGAACCACACAATATAGAAAAAATGGACAAAATGTTGAGGATGATCATGCCCAGATTCGAAGTTTTTTCTCACAGAAACGACAAGCGCTAGAATAAAAATCTTTTAAAATCAGCATGTAGAATAATTTGGTCAGGTTAAAAATATTGAATTACATGCCATTAAACGTTTTTGTAAAGAACTGGATCGCAGTTGATTTTAAACATTGATATGCTTCCTGATCATGAATAACGGAGCTTCTTCTCTTTTTGTCAAGCTCATCCTGATGAATTTCGTGTTAGAACTAATAAGATATATATGTACAGACAAAAATTCACCACACACCGAAGGCAGTGTTTTCTGATATTTCCTCTTTTTAAGATTATCCAAAACAATCGGCCCATTTCCTTGCATCCCATCTCGTTTGTGAATAGTTAACTCCTTCCCCTATGAAAAAGAAATTTGGAAACCAATTTCATTGAATTTATTAATGCAATTGATTCAGAAATATATATATAAATACCGGTGGCACTTTAATCCAGACAGATCCATTATATCGAGTGTCTTTATTTTGAATTTTCAATTTTTTAACCTGCTCCTCCTCTAATAATTTTTTTGCTCTTTTTTCTGCTTCCTAAAACCAGAAGGAAAAATATATATTATGACTATCATATTAAACAATACATAAAATACCATAATGTAATAACCTTTTTGGGATCATTTAATAAGAATTGTGGCTCTACATCATAAAATACATGATAAAAGATCTCTTGAATTATCATATTCCATTGCGACAGTTCTTTATTATCAGAAGCGAGGTTGAAAAGTGTCTTAAAAATCCCTTCTTGTTCGTATAAAATAATTAATTTGTTCTATGAACACGTAAGAATATGGTGTTATAATTACGCATTGCTTACAAAAAAACTTTCTACATAGTAATTAAGTTATAAACCTGTAAAGTAGTTCGTGGTATGTTGTGATCTGTTAGATCTTTAATAGCGACCAAATTTCGGAATAAATGTAACAGTAGACGTATATTCATGTTGTCCTTTTGCGCACGTCCTCTGTTTTATTTAATAATTAATAGTGCGAGAATTATTAAAGTGAATGATAATAAAATAAAATACAATAAGTCTAAGAATTAATTGTACCGCTTTTCCACTAATAGAAATGATTTTAGGAAACTATGTAATATCTTTAAAATTTCAGGACTATGAGTAAATGTTACTTTATAATCATATTGAGATTTTACGCGTTCCTTTTTTGCACGATTCATTTGTGAAATATCTACATCCTCTTCATCCAAACTATCAATGTCAGCGTTTAAATCAAAGGGCCTTGTCATAGGAACTATTATCTCGACTTTTTTAAATTAATAATCAGAAAAATTTGGGTCAGCAAAAATATGCTTGGTATTCTTTCTCCTTTAATGACGCGTAACAAGTCAACATCCTATTTCTCCTGTAATATGCCATGTCTCCGAACTAAATTTTAATGTTTTTACGAAAATTGATCAAGTGCCAGCATCTTTTTACACGTTCAAAAATACATCTGAATTCGACGAACCAACAAGTTTATATCAAAATTTACGAATCTAAACTTACCACAAGCTAGTGTTAAACAGCTTTGTGTACTATCAAGTGGATCCTGATTTAACATGATTATAGGAATTAGATCCTTTTCTAAAATTTTTAATTTCCAAAGTTCGCAATGCACTTCAAGAGTTGTGTGGTCATCATATCGAAGGACTTCTTTCATATCTTTGAGACAACCTTTTTTAAAAATTCAAATAAAAATTACGCATGAACTTAAATTTAAACGTAAGTTAACGCGTTTATACGCGTTACAAACTAAATAGATCAATTTATGTAGCTTAACAGCGTATAGTACGAGATATACCTAAGCATTCATCTCCTAAATGATACCTCTGAGTGACCATATTGTCAGGTCCTATGACTCGTTCATATCTCCCAAGCGAATTACAAAGGCTGAAAAGCTGATCAGATAATGACATTTCTTCGTCAACATCTCTTGACGATGACAACTCTTCGTCAACAAGTTCATCACCCATGACTGCGATTAAAATGTTCTGTACTGATTAAGAATATATCAGATATAGAAGCGAAAAACCGCGTACGTACGTAAGTAGATTAGTGGTGTCGAATGACGGTGTCGATCACGTGATGATCGACAAATAATTCTAAGCTGTGATTCGCTATTGCTTTCATGCGACGAAAATCATTTAACATAGTAAAACTGAGTTTACAAAACTTTGATCGAAGATATCTCGGCAATCAATCAATCAAACTCGATAAATTTTTTTTATTTAAATTCTACAGTTCTATAGAATTCAAATAAAAAAATTTCATCGAATTTGATCAATTGGTTGCCAAGATATCTTCGATCAAAGAATCAAAGTTTAAGAAAATTTTTAAAACATTTGTTATATAGTAATTGTGCCAAAATTGTTTACAAAACTTTGATCGAAGATAAGATATCTTGGTAACTAATTAATCAAATTCAATGAAAATTTTTTTATTCAAATTCTACATTTCTGTAAAATTCAAAAATTTATTGAATTTAATCAATTGGTTGTCAAGATATCTTTAATCAAAGTTTAAGAAAATTTTCAAAATATACTGTATGTTACATACATCAGCAAAATATATAAACGTAATCTTACGTAAAATATTACGGCCTGTAATATTGCATAAGAATTATGATTGATACGCAATATTGCGCAATAATCAATTATGGAATATTATGCAAAAATATTGCGAAATATTACGTAATATATTTTAAAATAATTTCAAACCGATTTGAAATATTTCAAAATAGTTCGAAACAAATCGAAACAAATCGAAATATTTTGAGTTTACCAATTCGAAATATATCAAAATATTCTAAATAAAAAATGTAATAAACTGAAATTTTTATAACAAAATTTACTAGGATATTTTGAAATATTTCAAAATATTTCAAAATATTTCAAATTAAACTAAATTTATTAATTTTTAT